AGTGGTTTTACCGAGGCCTGACCGATGTGCATATATTCAGTATCGCCTCGCTAGCAAGGCGATCCTGAGGGGGAATGTTGTGATACCTGGCACTTGCTGCTCAGGAATGAAGCCGCAACATCGGAAATAATTCCTGCTCTATGTATAGGAAGAACCAAGTTGATTTCCAATCAACTTGGACTTCATGCTGTATATATAGCTTCATGTATTTCCTCAAGAAGAAGAATTAAGCTTCCTTTTGTATTTACAACAATACTAATCTTCATCATGAGCCAATATCATTTCCTTTTATCTATAGCATTTGTTCCCACTCTGTTCGTCGCAGATCATACACTCGCTATACCATTATATAATCAAAATTTACTGCACAATTTAATGTAAAATGATGTATCAACTTTTTTTGCTTTTTTGGGTAATTTAGGGTACCCATTTGGGTCTTGGGTTGGGTTTCCTGGGGAACAACCCACCCATGGGCCTGCTGACTAAGACCCAACCCAACCCGTGGGCTGGGTCTTCGTGGGCGGGTTTGGGCGGTGGGCGGGTCTTGGCGAGGTCTAGGCAGAACCATCAACATGTGGTATGAGGAAGCCTCCACTTTTGATTCGGTCAAACGCTTACTTCCTTGTGCAGCTCATGAGTTATACACAGTGGGCTACAGCCAACAAGGGAGTCGATCGCTTTCCAAGCTTTGGAACTATGTACACTGGGTCTGTGAGGAAAGGCGGCTCAGTTATCTGCGTTAGTTAACTAACTTGACTGCCACGGATAATTATTTCACCGTTCAGGCCGTGTTTGGAAACAATGAGCTACATGAGTTGGTCATGTGACCGTCACCCCCTTACTGCCCGGAACATCTCGTCTCAGATTGAGGTGCACAGTACCTCAATTGAGCTCACTTTGCTGGGACGGCCGGCACAAATAAATGTGTTCGAGCTACCTATATGGCTACTCTTCCTTTGCTCAGAGGGAACGAAATTTCGTTGGAAGATGCCCTGGCCGACGACGATAATATCCTGCACCGCCTTGACTACCCGCAAAAGCAGCATGACTTCTGTTCATATCTACTGAGCCACAAAACGGACCTCGAATCTTTCGTTTCGTTCCATCTTGGCGTCAAAATATGTGAAATTGCCGACAAGGTTGATTGGTTGTTCGGGAGCTACAACGTGTGCATTCCGGTCTACATTAATCGGCCCTTTGGCGAACGTGTCCTAATTCGAATCCCACTGCCTTTCAAAGTTGGGGAAGAGAAGCATCCCGGGAATTCAGATGAGAAACTGCGCTGCGAAGTCGCTACATATATTTGGATTCGCGAAAATTGTCCGACTATCCCAATACCTTTCCTTTACGGGTTCGGGTTCCTCAATGGGCAAAATGTAAGTTAATATCCTGTCACCTTTCATGGGATTGGAGGTGCTGAATTGCCATAGTTTACCAATGAAAAATCCATGGGTATCTGTACTCAATGGTATCACCGTATGAAACGAACGATACGATCGTTGCTTGGGTACCCCAGGACATCTCCTTTTATCAGCACGAAGGGAAGTGGTTCTCTGTGCATCGGATATATGATTATCAGCTTTGTTGAGAGTGGCAGCATGCTGTCCAACACTTTGTCAAAGTTCCTTCTGGCGGACAAAACTCGAAGGCATGCTCTTTTCAGCGATCTTGCAAAGATCATGCTCACACTTAATCAAAATCAATTCCCACGTATTGGATCTTTGACTTTGGATGATGATGGCGTGATTCTTTTGAAAAATCGTCCCCTAACGCTGCGACTTCAAACTTTCGAAAATGAAGGCATCCCCACTATACCAAGGAACTCTACGTATCAGTGCGTGGAGCCGTACATCTTGGATCTGTTGCACTGTCACGACAACCGCCTTCACTACCAACCAAATGCTATTCATGATATTCACGATGGCCAGGAACAGCTTGCTGCTTTGACTATGATGCGAAGTCTCTTGCCTCGGTTCATTTCCCATCAGTATCGCGATGGTCCATTTCTACTCACACTTACTGATCTCCATCCAAGTAATATTTTTGTGGATGAAGATTGGCATATTACGTGTTTGATAGACTTGGAATGGGCATGTAGCTTACCCATTGAGCTACAGACACCACCGTATTGGTTGACTGGTCGACCTATCGATGATATCGAGCATGGGGAACATCTTCAAAGTTTCCAATCTGTCATTTATGAATTCATAGAGGCTTTTGAACAGCAGGAGAGATCTATCCGAACGCTTGTCACTTCTCAAGCTGAGATCATGAAAAAATGCTGGGACAGAGGGAGTTTCTGGTATTTCCAAGCTGTCCATAGCCCTAAGGGCCTTCTCCGAGTGTTCAACGAGCATATCCAGCGAATTTTCTGTGAAGAGCACTGCACACAGCGAATATTTGATCGGACGGTAAGCCCTTATTGGTCCGTGGACGCGGGAAATTTCATTCAAGCAAAGGTGGAGGAAGACGCGGACTACAAGGATCGGTTGAGGGCTCGTTTCGAGGAGATAGGTCATTAATTTTTGCAGACATGTGTTTGGCCGAACAAGTCTACCCACTGTAAGTTATCCCGATGGGTGCTCCGGTTAGAAATTAGTTGACGTGTCCTTCAGGCGAGCGCTTACCGCTTAGTCTTTTGTGTTCAATTTTCTTTTTCTCTGTGCCTCTGATCCCGAAGATATGACCTGGTCGATGTTTGGATTATTCGCAATTTGCTGTGAGGGCAGCTCAATGTCTTTTTTTCCTCGAGCTCTCCGAGCTTCTTCACCGGAAGACATGGACATACTGATGAGCTGATTCTGCTCTATGCGCTCTGATTCAGAGGAAGCTTTGTCTTTTTGCTCACTCATGTTGGGTGTTTTCTCGCTTGCAAAAATGGAATTATGATAAAACCGTCGATGGTATATCAGCAGGAGGGGCTGGCCTGCACTCCTACAGATAAGAAAGCGGGGGAATTATATTACTGTCACGTGATGGGTGTTTTAGTATGCCGATGATATTTGTCAACCCCAATGGGTTGCTACTCGTACCAAAACAAGGATGAACATCACATGAATTGTTTCATAGATGATGCAACACTTTTATATGGCGAATACCAGCTATTTATGTTATCATCAGGCACCAGGATATTCTACATCCGTGGACCTCCGTTATACTGTAAGTTCATGGGTAGTTCAACCTCCATGAGCGCCCTCATTCTATGTTCTTGAATCAATCAAGTCTATCAATTCAATCAATCTCCCCTTTTGATTCCGTTGCTCTGATTGGCTAATTTCCGAGTACTCCGTAGCTGTCACATTGTTGATATATTCTATCATCATTATCTCACCATTCGAAAGACAATTAAGTCTGAGCAAAAGCAGACTTTTCTTACGGGTCATATCAAATCTCTGGGAATTAGTACTCCTGAGACCCCCTTGTTGATACAGTAAGGGCTTTATCATTCGGTTCAAACACGGGCTAGCAGAAATGATGCCTGAGTAATGCCGCAAGTCTCACTCTCATCCTGAATACCCATGGTTGAGCAACTATTGGAATCGTATTTGCCAATGAGCGTGTTCGCCTGTGAGCACAAAAGCCCCTGTTCCAACAACCTGGAGGGGAATGGCCAAAGGAACAAATAAGCCGGTACGGATTCACACAGCTAATCCATGGAACAGAAGGATTGCGATCACAAATTGTCATGAACAACTAGCTTTGAATTTGGAATTATGTATCTTGGCCGACGCTGGTGGGGCGCTGAAAAATTTCGCACGCACGACTCTTACTTATTTCGGTTCCGCAAGGTGGGTCACTCTTACGGTACCTTGGTCAGGGCCGTCCCAGGTCTTTCGAAATAAGCTTTTTTGTTTGAGAACCCTTTGCGACTGCATAGGTTTCTATGCCCAAGACACAAGTCGAAATGCTTCCTTGGACCATTTCTAGACATTGGGGAATAGTGTTCGCAAAGAAGTTCTAGAACGAGCTGGTTCCCTTTGACCCACTCCGGTACTTTACAGCCAGCAGAATCCAGAGTACGAAAGAGCTCCACCAATCTTTTGTGGCAAAGCTTCATTTTTACTGGCCAGAAGGGACCGTGGTGGCCCTTTTCCACGGATCGGGGGCGTTAAGTGCGGAGGCACAAGGGATCAGTAATTGTTGCTGCAGTCTTTCCTTAGACATGGACTGGGCACCTTGAATGGAGAACCCTTTCCAAAGAGACATCTCCAGTCTCCTTGAGCAGTGGAAGATATGGTTGTAGATCTAATATCTCCTCGATCTGTCTCGCAAAGTGAGCTTCCTCGATCATCAACTGTCATCAGTTGTGAAGGCTTTGGCAGTCTCGTACCTTTCAGAAATCAAGCACCGCCATTGATCCATATAGGCCTGTAGGTTTTAAAGTTTGAATGGTAGTATTGACCTGAAACACTCCGCATTGTCACTCCACAAGAAAGTCTTATGGTAAATACAACAACAGTATGCACATATCAAATTTTCAAACAAAGCTACGCATTATCATGGAAGTGTTTACATTCGCTTGATCAGGTAAGTGAGGCGTGTCGCTAAAATCGTGTGTTCGATTTCAGCACCACAAAGGTAAAGCACGGGACCATTCCTCACGTTCAGAGGATGATATGCTGTTTTGGCTTGTTTTTGATCCGGATGTGAATGCCCTTGCAATAAATTAATGTCACCTCACATAGGGTCAGCTCTAAATTCGGACTAACATTTTCTGTGCTACCGGTGAGTTAACCAAGAAACAACAGGGCGCACCACTCTGATGCATGTGCAGCATCCAGCATTTCTACGCCCCAGGGTAGCCTCAGGTTTCATATCCCCTTTCGTGTGACCATCTAAATAATATATAATCCCTCAATATCCCATGCAGGGTAGCCACTATCATCTCCGTTCTATTACACACAGGGGTTTACCTGTCGTGGACCTAAATATTGACGATGCCGCCTAGCACCAGGTCTACGAAAAGTGGGAGACGTTGCTCACGGCTAAAGTCGGACGCCCCCGTAGGTGAATTGAAAACAAGTCAATCCCGACGACCAGTCAAGCGCTCCGCTTCGGATCAGGTTAGTTTGTTCAATTTGTGAATCCTCCGATTGTGACTAGCCATTCACATGGTCTTTCGCAACCTTTGATACCATGTTGACCATGACTACAAGTTGCTATCTCCGCACAAAAGACGTCGAGAAGACGACGATAACGACGGTCGCTTTGTTCACAAAGAATGCTTCAGACACATGAGCCGGGTTCAAGCAAAGCTGCACAGAGTCTTGGACACATTGGACCAAGAGCGAACAGAGGGTGCCCAATTCATACAGCGACTTCAGATGGAGAAGGCGGAGGAGACGGCTAAACTGAGAAAGGCACTGGCGGATAATGAGAATCTCTCAGGCGAAGTCAAAAGAGCGCAAATGGAAGCCAGTCAACTGCAGCAGCAGCTTGAATCGTTCAATTCCACTATGCAAGGCCAAGTCGCATGGAATGATGTCCAGCCAGCTCTGTATCAAGCTCACAGTGAGCTGGTAGCCGCGGCCACGCAATTCTGGAGAAACGTGGAGGCCATTCAGAACCGACAGCTAGCTACTTACTTGCCTGGATCTGGAGTGGTGGATACAGCATGGGCCGGCCAGGTTAGCGCTGAAGGTCCGATCGTGTCTACTTCCTTGCCTGAAATTTCTGGACTGGGTGAATACTCTATTCTGCCTCCGCAAGCGCCAACATCTGTAAATTAGAATCCAGGAATTGCGTTCACGTGGAGAACATGGATCATCATGTGGTTATTTTATGCATTAAGTTTCGCACAAATGAATACCATCCTCTTTTTATGATCTCACGTATTGTGGTATCAGGAATTCATGTATACCACGGAACATTCAAGTGGTGCCCCATAATGGCGATGCATGACGCATAACATTCCGTTGTGGGGACAATCCCACACTTCGGCAAAGTCCTATTGATCTGCGGCCCGTCCGGGGAGAAATGAGGAACAGGGGCCCACTACGGATTGTCTTTTACCCTTGGTTTCAAAAATATTATGTAAAGACAACTCCCCGGTGTTCGAAACTGTCACCAGTCAGCACCGCTGTCGATCGCGGTCTAGGCTTTTCTCAACTGAGTCAAAAACTTAATCGACCATGATCGGCCGTGATCTACGGTCCCACGAAAGTTTAATGGTACGCAGGGCTTCCTCCACACTTCGTCCGTTTCTCACACTCCGGCCGGTCCCTGCTATAGCGGGGGATTACATTCTAGGAAGAACGCACTTAACGTGCTTCATTAGACAAGGCTTTGGATTACACTGTGTGAATTCAGTCAATCCATCAGCCATTCTGCTTTCAATAATATATACGCTAGTGGGACCATATTTGTCCAGAATTATAAACAGCGATGATCAATTTTCGAGGTCAATTTCAGCTACGGAAAACGAATACAGATCGATTTGAGGATCTCCCTCACCGCCTCAAAGCCCGTCTTTGCTCGGTTTGCCGACTCTCCCGCGGGACCCGGATCCAGCCTGCGAGGCCACGTCAATTTTCTCTTCCATGATTTCCAGTCGACCGAGAATGTCGGCCAAATCGTTGCGGACCACCTCATTGACATTTTCTTGGCTGTGCATCGAATCTTCCACATTCCTGGATCATTTATTAGCCTATGAGTTCCTTCAGACTAGGCGATACACCTAGGTTCAGCTTACGTCATTCTCACATCTAGCCTTGGTAAGAAGGGGGATTTAGCTTCAAGGTTGAGAGACAGTGGAGAAAGCACTCACTCTGCGACACATTCTAGGGCTATCATGTCACGATCTTTTGGCAAGTCTGTCCCTGGTTCAATGTTTTCTGCCATCTGGGCAACCGACGACAATTCAGGACCAGTTGGTTTTTCGTAGGTATGGCCCACACTGTCGCTGTGCACGCTAAATTCAACACTCTTCGACAGCGTCGAATGCTGATCCTCGGTGGTGTCACCGATGGATATCTCAGAGGCGCTGTGAGTTTCTTCGCTCTCAAATGAGGATAGACTCAGCGCACGTTGTAGTTGTTTTCGAAAGTCCGGCCGTCGAGAGGGATACATGGAAGACTTTCGAATGGCACCCATACTGGTTTCTAATGTCGTGCAACAAAGGGCGAGTTTTGTGGTCTTTTGGTTCACAGAGCAATCATTATATGTCGTCGACCAGACGACGGCCACTTATATTCCTTGTGTTCCATTGACACCCTCCACCAAGTGAATCGGAGCCCACATACCCAGCTATGCATTTCCGTACTCTCTATTTCCGGCGCCAAATGTTGCAATCAATGTCTGACGATCCGATATTTCCCTCAAGTCAACGTCGAAGGCCCCATCAACTCAGATGGCAGTCCATCTTATTGGACAGTAGATATATGGTTACATTAGGCCAGAACCATGCGTGAACCAGGAAAAGCTGTGGCTGTTCCAAAACCCCGTGTTTCACCGTTGAGATGTGGAGCTATCAACATGACAAATGAAAGACTTTCAGTCCCATGGTTTGATCTCAAACGCATTTTCAATGTTGCATCCTTTATCGCCGTGGCAAAGGCTGGTGTGCCTAGACGTGGTTCGTTTCAGCCAACGTTGATGACCGTCGATTCTTGGGACGGAATGGGCGTTGCCGCACGTCTTACTGGTCGATCAATGAAATGAATCAATTATTTAGAGCAAGTGTTTAATTGACCGGTGGTCTGTTGGGAAAGGATATCAACCGTGGATCACGCAAAACCATAAGCATTAAAGATCAACAAACTCGACCTACCTGCCCTCTGTTTTCGCCGTCTGCAAACAGTCTTCTCCTAACCATTTTGCGTGATTTCATATCATGTACTCGCGCAGTGCAACAGGATGGTCGGAATGGGAGGAAGATAACCTTCTTCCCTGGCTGGAAGCGAACAGCAATATGCCTTGGACCGATCGCGCTCAAGCTTACTCCGAACAATTCGGAGTGAGCCGATCTGTCGAGTCCTTGCGAGGGAAAAAATATCATATCCTACAATAGCCTACGTAATAAGCCTGTATGGTCTCAACGGCTTCTAGAACGTTGATCCTGCAAACGAGGCAAACAGAAGGGGGCTTTCCAAGTCACTCTCACTTGGCCACGTTCGTATCTCCGTCTGTCAATTTCTCAACGTGAGAAGTCCCTTGAACAAGCCAGGTGTACTTCCAGTACTGTACGGGCAGGTCAAGTATATTGGTTAGTGTAACAGGCATGGTCTTCACATTAGGACCGGGATTTGCTGGACTATGACTGGAGGAAATTGCTGACGTTGAATCTCATTGCAACGTTTAGAACCTTCACGAGAACGATGAGTGCTAACTCGAATCGCGATGACTATGACCTCCAAACCTATGATTCCCACTCTGTCGATCACAACTGGCAAAATGCCCCCACACCAGGATACTTCGGTTGCACGCCTACATCAAGCGGCGGATTCAGCCCTTCACCCGACTCTTCCACCGAGTACGGTCCGGAAGACTTGTCCCAAAACAAGACGGAAAGTCCTAGATTGCTCCAGCTATCCGAGTGGCACGACGGAATACTAGACGATGAGCTTCCGGCAAATTACATCCAGTATACGATCGAGTGGAAGGTCATGGTGAATAAGAAAGTGATCTCTCGAGACACGGAGGAGGACGTAGCTCTGACACCAAGCGCTTACTGGCCGATGACCCTGAAGTGTAAGTTGGAGAAGTTGTTGGAGGGGAAGGCCTCGTACAAAGGACGGGTGAGATCTGATGACACGGCAATTGTCGTATCGGTGAATGATCGCTCTCAACGCGACCTGATGAAGCGATTTGACCATCTTGATATCGACTGGGCTACCGTTGAAAAACAGCTGCTTCGGTGGGGTGCGCTATTTCTTCGGGGCAAAAGATTGAGGTTAAGTATTACCTTCAAATTCGTTGAGGATGACCGTCTCTGCAGAACCATCTCTGGTAGGGTCGAGAAGAGAGGCAGGTCGTCTGTCACGAAACGGATGCTCAACGAGCGAGACGCTCAACTGGATGCCGAAGAGCATACATCTGGGCAAGAATCCGTTTGGCGGGCCGTGTACAACCTTATGCGTTGTCCTTCCTCCTCGTGCCATCTTGGCCCACATTGTTGGCAAGACCCTCATGGGAAGAAACACCATGCGCTACGAAGCCATCATCTCAAACGTCTCATTGCCTTTGTGGAGAAGGGAGGTACTTTGGAGTCTCATGGCGACGTCCCCAATAGTTTTCGTGAAGAGCTATATTTAGAAGAGCGCCAAAGACTGGGGAGCCAACAGTCCAAGAACAAGATGGGCGGTTCCTGGGGAGGCTCTCTTCCGATAAACATCAACATCAATGGGATGCCCCCTTCCTCTCAAACGCAGGTCCCCAGCTCAGCCGCGATTCCAGCCCAGGCTCAAGTACAGAATGATCTCAATATTCCCGGATTACGAGATGTGGCCGTCAAACAATACACCGCGTGGCATGAGGCCAATGTTGAGGATGACGCTTTGAAGGCTCAATTTCGGCAAGCGCGTGATGTGGCATTGGCCAATGGGCTAGATCTTAAACTGATTCATGATGACCAAAATCCATCATTCTTTGTCGAGAAAGGGATTATGGTAGGTATCGCACGCCAGTTTGTTAGAGACATTGTTTCCTGGGTTCGGTCTCTAGATAGTGTGCCGCAAACCGAAGAGGCTTCGCTGGTGGTATCCTGAAGATTTTAGGCGTCAAAAATATTCAAGACGGCGTTGGTATAGCTATTAGGTTGGATTTTAACTTGCGATTTGATATATTCCCTTGATATTCTTACGAGTGCGGTAGACATGCAAGGAGATAAAGAAACCTATGAATCCTCGTATTCGATGATATATATGACAACACAGCACACTGCTACAAAATCCATTGACTAATCTCCCTGTCCAATGACCACACCAGCATGTCGGAAATGGCCCAATGCACTTTGTTTTCGAGACCCAACAACCTCAATACACCATTCGAGAAATGTCTGAAACCCTTGTTTTGTGTCTTCCTCATAATGTACCCAATTTCTCTTTATGAATGCTTTCAACTCTGAAAAGAACTCCTCGATAGGATTCAAGTCAGGTGAGTAAGGTGGGAGATACACCAACTTGACTCCTGCGTCGCTGCACATTTCTTCAATCCGATCAGAGCGATGGAAAGATGCATTGTCCATGACGATAACGGACTTCGGCTCAGGCCACCTTCCGCAATGTCGAAGTAGCTGCTCAATGAAGTCCGCAAATAACGTAGCATCCGTGGAGCCCTGGAATACACGTGAAAGGACAATTCCGTCCTGGCAGTACGCTGGAAGTATCTGGTACCGCTGGTCGCGATGGAAATTGGCTACCTGCAAGGGTGTCACGCCTAGCGGAGACCAACCTGTCCTTCTGAAGCCAATCCGCTTATCACATCCAGACTCGTCCACATACACTAGGTGATGTGACTGAAAGTCGGACAGGTTATGCAAGTAGAAGTCTCGCAGATCGGCATTTTGTTCCTTGGCTCTCTGTCTAGCCACCTTTTTCGACCAGCCCACCGAAGCGAGGGCCCGCTTAAGGCTCGAATTTGTAACCTGTACGCGAAACTCATCCCATAGAAAGATTGCCATCTCGTCAACATACAGGCCGGGCTTTTCGAGAAGATGGTCACACAAGGCTTCTAGCATCGAAGGGGTAACGGTTCGTCTGCGACCGACACGCGTTTGTGGTGCTTTGACGTTTCCGAACCAGCGAAGGTTATTGCTGATGTTAATAATTGAGCGTTTACTACATTCAGCGGCTTTGGCCATTTCTGAGGTTGTTAGTGATTTGCTCGATATCATGTCTTGAATCATTGCAAGCTTTGCGTGAGGAAGTCTTGGAGCCATGTTGTGAAGAGACGGGAGGAGCGCGGGTCTGGATGGTGGTGAAGAGAAATTTGGCGAGGAAGCCATGGAAGGCTGTAGAGGGAAACGGGGAGCGGATTCATCTGCCCCCCTTGCTGTCCCCCTCTGCTCAGTGAGCAGATGGAATGATTTCGGGGCGAAGGTCTGGGGCATGCTGGATAATAGGAAATGCACGTGACTTGGCGATTGGAGGTTCCTGGGAGCTGGGTGGCCCCTCTCAAAGCTCCTCTGATAGCTGCGGGCCTCAGAAAAAGGCGGTTAAACAGACAGCTCATCACCCTCAGCTATTTTAATCACCAACGGTGATCTGGTGGTCCTCGAATTGTTCATTTGAATTGCTGAGAGGCCTCTTCAAGTGATAAGTTCAAACGTTTTGTCTGGAAAATATTGACTGCATACGGTAAGAGGGCTCTCTTCGATCAGAGTGTTTGGGTCGGGTCGACCCGTTCCTGGGAATGCCCCTCACTACCCGCCCCCACATGGAAGTATGATCATCGATACGAAACCATTCGGGAAGCGGTGTGAGCGAGGAAAAAGCCGCAATAATCTTTCTAGCCTAGGCGCAAGTCACATGGTTACGAGGCTGAGGATACGCCTTCTTCCAGCTCGTAGGAGTCCAGTTGAGATTCTCGTCATGAACCACCACATTGGAATTTTTGAAAACAGCTACTCCTTAGCATCCGACTATCCATCAAGTATTCACTTTACCTCTCTCTTCTGGAGCAGATCGTCCAGGACCTTTGGTTCTGCGAGAAGAGACAGTGCTTGGCTGACATATTGAGTACTATCTGGCGCGTCTGAACATTCTGCCTGGTCGAGTAATTCTCGTACAATATGGCTGAGAACCCCCTATCTCAGGCAGAGCATTCAGTACCGGCCCAAAGCAATGCTGGTCCCGAATTATCTCCATGCCGAAAGCGACTCCGACACGATGCCTACACCATCGGATGGGTATGCGCCCTTCCAAAAGAACAAACCGCAGCCAGAGCCATGCTAGATGAAGAGCACGAACCTCTTCCGACCCCTCGCAATGATCATAATGCATATACCCTTGGCTCAGTATGCGGCCATAACGTCGTCATAGCCTGCCTACCTAATATGGGAACCAACCCTGCCGCGACCGTCGCAACCTCTATGATAAACACGTTCCAGTCGATCAGGTTCGGGCTGATGGTAGGGATTGGCGGCGGAATTCCGTCGAAGGTCAATCTGGGTGATGTAGTGGTCAGCCAGCCTGTTGCTGACTATCACGGGGTGGTACAATGGGATATGGGGAAGCTGGAACGTGGTGGGCAGTTTGTCCATACAGGCTCGTTGAACCGACCTCCGAACGCGCTTCTTACTGCGTCGAATCAGCTGAAAAGTAATTATGAGATGTTCGGATCGAAGATAAATGAGTATTTGGATGATGTGGAAAGGAGATTCCCGCGCCTGGCGCCAAAATATACCAGGCGTGAGTGCTTGGAGGACCCATTGTTGTCATCGAAGAGGAGACGTCGGACTTCGACCGAAGTCCATTTTCTGTCTAGCCTATGGCAGGCGGTCATCGCAATGATCACATATCTTCTTGGTTCATGGGCTATTAGCCCAGTAAACGAGGAGAATAAGCGGCTGTCAGAGAAGACACGGGGAGCACGAACCCAAAGAGAAGTGAGGGTACATCATGGCCTGATCGCATCCGGGAACAAAGTGGTTAAGGACGCCCGGTCTCGAGACTCCCTGGATAAAGCATTTGGCGGGCACTTGCTGTGCGTGGAGATGGAGGCAGCTGGGCTTATGAATGACTTCCCATGTATTGTGATCCGAGGTATTTCTGACTATGCAGACTCGGGAAAAGAGAGAAGCTGGCAAGAATATGCTGCAGCCGTGGCCGCTGCATATGCAAAGGAACTTTTAGGATGTGTGCCGCCCAGTGTTGTTGACGCTGAGGAATCAGCGAAAGCTATGTTAGAAAAGGGTTAGTATCTTCCTGAATATTCGGCTGCAGGCTTCTAAAGTACCAGAAAATACTGGTGACAACATATTGTTTGAGTTTAGAATACGTCCTAACTGCGAATAGTCAATAGACAGCTTAAAAATGTGCAGCGAACGACAGTCGCAATAAAAGCTACTACCGATTCCCTTAAATCTGACCTTCATACTAATGAGATCAAACGCTGGCTTGATCCCCCGGACCCATCTACGAATGCCAACCACGCGAGGACGCTCCACCATGAGGGGACAGGCGCGTGGCTTCTAGAGAACCCAATCTTCCTATCGTGGTACTCGGGGTCGCGTCGACATATATGGCTGCATGGGCTCGCAGGATGTGGAAAGACCGTTCTGAGCACAACCGTGCTTGATCATCTCGCAAAAGGAAGCGACGGTCCTATCCTCAACTTTTTCTTTGACTTTAGCGATACCAAAAAGCAGACCTATGAAAGCATGCTGCGGTCGCTTGCTTTCCAGCTTTACCAAGGTGGAGTTGACTCTGCAATTCATCTTGAAGGGTCATTTCAAGCACACCAGAACGGCAAAAACCAACCAAAGACAGAGGCGCTCTGGATTATGTTTTATAAGATGCTCGGAGTCCAGAAGAGAGTCTATATCGTTCTGGACGCATTAGATGAATCAACGTCAAGGGATGATATTCTCAAGTGGATCGAGGACATAATATCTAGGCCAGAGTTAGACCATGTCCAGCTGCTCTATACCAGTCGACCTGAGTCCGAGTTTCTGCGGCGCATTCCAACTTTGATAGGAGAGGAAGGTTGCCTACCACTTGATGAGCAGGCTATCAATTCCGATATTCGTTCATGGGTCTCAGCACAAATCTCTCAACGGCACGATTTTACAGAGAAGCCATTGTCTCAGGGGCTTCTCGAGGAAATACGAATAAAGGTTGGCGACGGCGCAGACGGAATGTGAGACGATACTGTTTGATTGACAATACTAATTTGCTGACTCCCTACTCAGGTTCAGGTGGGCATTCTGTCAATTAGACAGCCTAGCTCGATGTCGTCACGAGGCAGCTATAGAGGAAGCTCTTGGATCCTTGCCTAAGAACCTGAATGAGACATATGAGCGCATGATGAAGAGCATACCGGAGGAGCGCAAAATGGACTCAATACGCCTGCTACAATTTTTGGTGCACTCCAAGCGACCTCCCACACTAGCAGAGGCTAAAGAAATAATAGCGACGCAGATTGAAAATGGGTCAACAGGGTTTGACATCAAGCGTAGGTTGTTCTGCGAAACTGATCTGTTGGATTACTGTCCCGGCTTAGCGACAATCGTTCACGCCACGGATAAAGAGTTACATCTTGCCCACTTTTCGGTCAAAGAGTACCTTCTCAAAGACGACGATTTTAAACTCATGACTGCCGGCATTTCTATCACGACGACCTGCTTGGCATATCTCACAGACATCAAAGGTAGCCACGAAGAGATCGAGGGGCATTTTCCGATGGCAAGATATGCGGCGAAGCTCTGGGCAGGCTATGCTGCGTTGGCTCAGGATTCTGAAGAGATAGTTCGAAAGAGTGTCGAGTTCCTTGAAAAGGAAGAGACATTTCAACGATGGAGTCGTTTGTATCAGGCTGATAGGAGCTGGGTCGGTGACCCTGGCCCTCCGCGAGCTTCCAGGCTCTACTACGCTTGTCTCAATGGGCTCTTCGCGCCTGCAGAAGATCTTATTAGCAAGGGAGCCGAAGTCAACGCGCAGGGCGGCGAATACGGCAATGCTCTCCAGGCCGCCTCGTATAATGGCCATCA